AGAAAAATTCTAAGAGAAAAAAAGATTCTTAACAAGTAAGTTTGACTTGCAAAAAAAAAAAATTTAAGAGGAAAAAGATTCTTAATAGGTAAGTTTATATAATTATAAATAAATAAAATCTCTATAGAGTTAAGTATGAGAAAAATATGTAAAAAAATTGTAAGATTTTATGAGATTAATACCCTATAGGACTATTGAAAATTTACTTCTTATAAGTGGTACGTTTGAATAAACTAGATGAGACTGAGAAGGTCTATATGGGATTGTATATATGAGTAGACTAGAAGAGATTGAAAGGATTGGGTGGTATGTTTGAATGGACTAAAAGAGATTGAGAGGGTTCATATAGGTACGGTATATATGAGTAGACTAGAGAAAACTGAGGGGGTCTACATAAATATGGTGTATAGATGTACAAAAGTATGCGTTTGTTTAGATTGAGAATACTCCATAGAATTAGAGAAGATTGAGATGGCATATGGGTATTGATTAATGAGTGGTTGATATGATTTGTATGTTTGTAATTTTCTACAATTAGTGAATTTTGTTTCTCATCTATGAATGTAGGTTATTCAGATCAAACCACATTAAATTATTGTCTCTTGTATGTTTGATCAATTGATTATTTAATTTTTCTTTTGTTGATGTGATTAGATTGGAGTTATTTGACCTAATAAGTAGTATTAGAGCTATGGTGATCCTTAACTGCAATTTGATTGCTTCAACTTGATTGCTTTGAGTGAGTTAACTTCTTAGGAGTACTCATATTATAGTAGTAATGATTTGTTGAAAGTGTACAAAAATGATAATGTGATTCTATGAGGGAATATGGTCAAAAATAACTTATCCATGCTTAATGGAGGCTCAGTTGCTGAGATTCCTGTGATGAAAGAAAAAAAGAAAGGCAAGTGTATCAGTTTTGCAGATACTATTGAATTGTTTGGAGATTCAAGTCAATGGAGGATTTGTTGGGATTTGTTTTGAATTTCACAATTTCATATCGAAAATTAAGTGAGTTTGAGTTTGTTTTGTATCTCACATCGGGAGTTTAGTAAAGATATAAGAAGTTTTATATGTTTTGATTTTAATTTGATAATCTTAGATGGTTAGACACTAAGAGAATAACTAAGTGAGTAGATAATTAAATGGCATAATTAAGTTTTGGATTAAATTTTGAGTAACGAGTTTTTAGTGATTTTTTTTTATTCCAAAAGTTTCACAGTTGTAAAAATTTATTTGTTAGTAAATTAGTAAGCCATTCTGAGTTACGCTAAAACAAATATATTTGTATATTTTTATTTTTGATTTGAACTTATTATTTTGTGTGTAGATGGTATATGGACATATTGATTTGTCAATAAATAGTATCAGAGTTTTGATGATCACTAACAATTTTATATTAGTTTTGGATCAGTTTAGGTTTGAATTAAGTTTACTTTGAATTAAAATTGTTGATTTTTTAATAATTCTAAAATCAAATCGGCTGAACTAATCGAGTTTTGAGGGATTGTACTGGGTTGAAAGTTGGAGATTTCTTTTCCAACCCTCGGCCCTCCGACCAAATGAACTAAGCATTAGGCAGTGAATCCGTACATAAATTAGTTGAAAAGAAATGTGATTAATTCTTCATTTGGATGCCTCTAATCATAAAATGATACGCACGACACGATGAAAATCTTTTTGACCACGTAGTCAAGGCAGTCGTAAGGAAATAGAAACAACTAAACATGGTTAAAAACTTAGAACGATCCATCTTTTACACACACACACACACACACATATATATATATACATATATATATATATATATATATTGCAAGAATTAGTTCATGTGAGATTTGTAGTGAGCCACTGATTTGGAATCTGGAAAGGTAAACTAAATAAAATGACATTCCAGATTTAGAGTAACATGGAGTTGGCGATGTAACTTGAAAGAAAGTACATTAAAAGGGATGGATCGACCAGGTGTCGAAATCATTCTTAGAAAGTCCAATTTACTTGGGATGTTTTTGTTTGTGACGTTCTCACATTCTTTTCCAACTAAGAGGCAACTTTCCAATAACTTTCCAGCAACAGAGCTTATCTCTAACTAACCTATAAAGTACCAAGTGATAATCGTTCAACTGATCACTGGATCTTAATAAACATTATGGGAAAGCAAGAAAATGTGCAAAACAAAAAGAAACAACAAAGGGGGAAAACTGTTTTTATAGAGAAAAGTTTGAGCAAAAGTTTGGCACTATTAATTTTATTGGATTGGGGAATAAATTCTTTGGCAAGAAATGATCTCTTAAGGAAGAAATCATGCAAATAATTGGCGTCATGGCATAGTTTAGTTTTTTTTTTTATACAAAAGAAGTTGTCATCTAAATAAAAAAATTTTTAAATGCTGAAATTTAAAATTTAAATTTATTTGATGTCTCATTTTAAAGATGTGTTGGCTTTAAATGCCAAAGATAAGTAACTTACTAGCTTATGTTGGCATGGTGTTTGAAACGTATAATTTGGCCAAATCAAGCATTGATTCTCCGTATTGTCTATCAAATATGGAGTTAGTTCCTTCTGAAAAACAGAATGGAGTAATGATGGGCTTACATTGATCAAAACCTTCTTTTTTTTTTTTTTTTTTTTTCTCTCCATGTCTGTAGGAATTTCATGATCTAAGTTTATACATTAATGGCAATCGACCTTATAATTTTAAATACAATATGAAAATAATATAAAAATTTTTTTATGATAATTTAAAATTGATAAAATTTATATATAAATTTTTTTGAAAAAATAAAAAAAAATTTATATTTGATGTATAACATAAATTATAATATAAAATTTTTATATTTTATATATATTTAACACAAAAGAAGTAAAAACTAATATATAAAACATCAAATCTAACTTACAATCTTATTATTTTCATTCCTTTTCTTTTGTCCAGTCATTTTTGCTTCCTTTTCTCATCCAAGTTTGCTATAATTTATATATATATTTGGCTAATTGTGTTTAAGTTCCTACCCAATAAAAAAGGATCTGCCTAAGCTCAATAATTATTTTACGTACAGCACTTTTATGTAATAGTTTAGAATTACAAGGAGAAAACATTGATCATATGTTTGAGGGTGATCTTTGACCCTCTGAAGAAGGACTTACATTTGTGGGTTCAATTTTTGTCATCATGAACCCTGGCCTCAGTGAAAGATCCTCCTCATCATGATACACATAAGCAAATCCCCCATGCCTAGTCAAGTCCGTCCCAGCGGTTTGATCGTCTCTTGAAATCCTTAACAACTTCATCTTATTCAGCACATAAAAGAGTGGCCCCATAGTGGCTGAGATCCACCCTAGTATGACCAAAATCTCAATGATCTGAGCCCCTGGCCTTCCCGGCCGCCCCGGATACGCCTCGTTGACGTATCCTTCCGTTGCAAACAAGCCGGTGAAGAGTAAACCCCATGCGCCACACCCCCCATGTAATTGGGCTGCCTCTAGTGGGTCATCATACTTTAATTTGGATGCAAGCATGTTGAATCCAATTAGAACCCATGCTGCTACAAAGCCGCATATGATTGCAGCCCATGGTTCTACCACTGAACACCCTGAGGTGATTGCAGCAAAGCCCCCTAATAAACTGTTACAGACATCAATTACGTTCCAATGACCAACCAATAGTCTCTTGCTGAACAAGGTTGTAAGAGCAGCTGTGCACCCAGCCAATGTTGTCGTGACAGTTGTCCATAATAACCCCCACTACCACCGTATGCTTTCACGATGGTCAAAAATGAACCTGGGTTAAACCCGTACCACCCGAACCACAAAAGGAACGTCCCAAGAACAACTAACGAAGCACTATGCCCACGTAAAGCTACAGACCGACCTGCCCGGTCGAACCGGCCAATCCTTGGACCTTCGATCAATGCACCCCATAAACCGGCAATGCCACCAACCATGTGAACCACACCCGAACCGGAAAAGTCAATCACACCCGATCCGAATAAAAGGTTATCGGGTCGGGTTGGGCTGGCCCATCCATTACCAGACCAAAACCAATGTGAAACGATGGGGTAGACGAAGCCGGTTAGGAAGGAGGAGTAAATGAGGTAAGCTACAAATTGGGTTCTTTCAGCTATGGACCCACTGGTAATCCCAGCTGCAGCTATGGCGAAAGCCCATTGATAAAGGAAAAAACTATAATCACCGGAGGGTGAAGGGTAACCTTTAAGGCCAAAGAAATGGCGGCCAATGAAACCATTGGAGGGGTCACCGAAGGCAAAGGCAAAACCAAAGAGGTAATAAGAGAGAGCACCAGCAGCAGCGTCAAGTACGTTAGTCAACATGATGTTCATGGTGTTCTTAGCCCTGACTGAGCCAGCACAGAGCATGGCAAACCCGAGTTGCATGGCGAAGACTAGGTAAGCGGAGAAGAGGAGGAAAGTGTTGTCAATGGCGTAAGTGGCGTCTGACAGTTGGTTGGAGATGGTGGAAAAACGCGAGCAAAGGAAGGAGGCGAGGGCGGTTGCATTGGTGGAGGAGGAGGAGGAGATGAGGGGGACGAGGTCGAAGGCGTTGCAAGTGAGGGAACCCATGGTGGGAATGAAGAGGAAAAGGAGGGATGGGAAGAGAAAGGCTGGCTAAGGGTTGATTATATAAGAGAAAGAATGGTGAAGATGTTCCCAAGCCATTGGCCTAGTAGTTAAAAGTGCTTAAGGGACATCAAAGACTTGATTTCAAACCAAATTTCTTTTTTTTTTTTATTTGTATTAAGGTTTTAAAGAATGGTGGAGATCAATTAGAGACAATGACAAATTGTGTTATTCTTTTTGGTATACCTTAGAGGCAAATTGGAATATTCAAAATTAATAATTAATCCTAAAGAAAGTTTCATAGTATACAGTATATAAATAATTTAAACAAATGTTAGAAAATTGAAATTTGGATGCAATTAGGAGTGAAATTTTAGGAGTGTAAAAGATATATTAGTATTTATAAATTATTGGAGTTTGATTGAAAAAAAATTTAAATTTGATTCGATTATTATTGAGTAGAGCTCGAACTCGAGTAGCTTGACTTATTAATCGAGCAAAATTTGAATATTTTTATATCTAGTTTGAGTAGCTCGTTAGTTTAACCAAATTTTTATATTTTAATATATTTTAATAATTTTAATTAATAAAATATCTCGAGCTCGAGTACAAATAATCGAATTTTTGTCAAATATAAGAATCGAATTTATTTTTATATGTTAATCAAACATAATTGAACGGGTTTAAATAGCTCAATTTCTATATCGAGTCGAGTTTTAGCTAAAAAAATAAAATTCAATCGAGTTCAAATTTTGAATTTTGAGTCGAGCTCAAGTTTGAACTTAATGCTGTATTGACTCGAACTTGATCAATTACATCATTTGATCATAATTTAAAAATAAAAAATTTATAAATATTACAATTTAAACTTAAATTTATTAAATATTATCTTTTAAAATAATTATATTAATTAATTAAATTAAATTCTAAATTTCATTTTAATAAGATTGCAATGAGAGTCCAATTTGTACAACAACCAGCTGACAATGTGATATCCAATGACATTTTATAAAAAATATAAGGAAGGCAACAAAGGGATTAAATAAATATTGGTTATTCGAACCTCAATTATATCGCAAATTTTGATTTTGAGATGATAATATTTTATTGAATTAATTGTTATTTTTATTACATAATTATTCAATTATAAAACATGCATCAAATTTAAAAATATTCGGACATTTGATTCAACGATTACTATAAATATATCTTTTAATTAAAAAATTAAGTTTGAATATCATTATTTTCTCGTATCAAAAGAAATAATAATAAAGAATTAAGGTTATAATCAAATCTGATGCATCCAAATTGATTAATTTCAATTTGGATACGTGAGTGTAAGAGTTATGCAGTAACTCAAAATAAACAGTTTTGACTTTAGGACGTGATTTGTTTCTGTCAAAGAAGAAAATTGCTATAATGTTGGATTAATTAATTAAACAAAGTAACATTTTTACAATCAACCATTGCAATTGGTGAAAAAGCCAAATGGAGTAAAAACTTTTTATATCAATTTTTTAATGCAGAAATTAGTCAGTCAAGAGTGTTTAAAAGGTAGGCTAATAATTATGATAATTTTAAGATTCGCATGCAGAAATACCTGTCTAGCTTATAACATCTACAATTTAATGTAAATGGTTTTGTGAAAGTTATTAATTTCGATACGCTTAACCTAAAAGTCCAACCAAAGAAAACATTATATTAGTTCATTTATTAATTTCAATTTAATTTAATTTTTTTTAGATCAATTAGTTTTATATAATTATTATTTAAAAGATAAAACAATCAAATCTTAATTTCCATGATTTTTTTTTTTTTAAACAAATTGTGCTAAAAAAATACAAACATAGCAATCCCTTCACTATGAGGAACCCTAATTATTGCCTTCAATTTTTTCCAACAAAAAAATTATCTAGCTAGGTTAATTAGAAACCCAAATCTCCATAAACTGTTTAGAAATAATCTGTAACATGTAAATCTTAGTGTTTTAGTCAAAAACTAAAAATCCTTGCCATTTTTTCTCAGATTTCTAATATCCCTTGAAAGGAGTATCTAATCTAGTACAAAATTATGTTTGTGTAAGAGAAATAATCTTTAGTTTGATATTAGAAGGGAAATTATATATTTAAAAATTTAATTATATGATCAATACATTACAAGAAATTTGACATATAGTGACGCTCAACAAAGCATCAGTAAAACCTAAAAATCCATCAGTATAGCACCATAAACCTTATACCAATGGTCAAAATGTGTATTCCAACGAATTTTTAATCATCAATATATCTCTTGTCGGTATTGACCTATATTGACGGTTTCTAAAGGCATCAGAATAGTTTATAAAGATATACCAATGGTTCAAGACCGTCAGTAAATGTATATCTGTTGGCATACCATCTGTTGTATATTCCACAGTTATACCTTTTAGTGACGGTTAACATTCGTCAATATAAATTTGTATGTTTTAATTTTTTTTGCCTATATCGATAGTTAATGGTTGTCAGTATAGACTTTACCTATACTGACGCTTAAAGCCCGTCAATATAGATTTGTATGTTTCGTTACTTATATCGACGACTAGTGACCATCAATATAGACTTATATATTTTAATTTTTTTGACCTATATCGACGGTCAACACTTGTCAGTATATACTTATAATTTTTCTTACGTATACCAATGCTTAGCATCTATTAGTATAGACTTATAATTTTTAATTTTTTTATCTATACCAATAGTTAGAGACTGTTAATATAGAATTGTACGTTTTAATTTTCTTACATTTAGTGATGGTTAAAAATTATTAGTATAGACTTTTATGTATAAATTTTTTTATTATATTTTGGTGACTATTAGTATCGTGTGAAATATTCTAACGATCAAGTGTGTGAATATAAATGTTACGATGTTGGTATAGACAAAGAGTTACACCACTTCACCTTAAAAAACACAATCATAAGTTTGCATCATCAGATACCTAAAGACCTTTTGGTCACCTTAAAACTTCAATAAAACTCTAAACAAGATAACCTTAAAAAATCTGTAAGCAAACAAACAATTGCAAAACCACCTTAATAAGAAAAAACATACATGCACCTATTACAAGCCCTTTCCAAAATCAAAATATTTTAATTCATACAAAATATCTTAAGTCTTAAAAAAGTCAACAAGTGTAGCTACATCATATAACTAACAATTTCAATAAACTCAGCTTACTAACAGTATTCAATATACCAACCAAGCATTACAAAATACAATAACCTTTTTCAATAAAGTGCATAACATCCAAAACAAAACCAAATCCCCTTACAAACATAATGCTCTGAGTAAATAAATAACTTTCTAAAATAAAGTGATCCCATCATAGATTTCTATAAAGAACCATCTACATAGCATAAAAAAATTCAATTAGAATTCTTATAAATTATCTTATATATACAAAAGGTAATCATCCATTCATATACTTGTAGAAATAATTTTATAAACATCTTATTTATTCATATATACAGAAGGTAATCATCCACTTATATACTAACAAAAATAATTTTATAAACATCCTATTCATTAGTATAATGCATGAATAAACAAGAAATAACCTAATATGCATGTGTAATCTCCTTATTCTTTTAGTTTAATTTCAAATAATAACTTAATGAAACCCACATAAGATTATTTAATCAATAGAACTATCAATAAACAAATATTTTCACTATAACATTCAAGTCTACAACTACATAACGTGCTTACATCATAAGGAAGCCTTTTCAAATGATAAAAAAAATGCAAGAAAGCATTTTCAAAGGAAAAAGAGCAAGCTTTAAATTATAGTATAATTTAATGATTATGACAAAGATGATGGGTAATGTTTTAAGATATCAATTATATGATTCAAAACCTAGATTCAAAACCTTGATTCAAAACCTAGATTCAAAATTGATTTTGGCATTCTATCTAAGATATAAGTATCAAGCAAAACATTTCTACATATATATCATGTGATGACGAGTTTAACATTTTCATTTTCATTAGGTTGATGACTTGAATTTGAAGAACGATAGTTTTCAAATGGAATTTCTAGAACACTACTAGCATCGGGAACCTAAAAATAATTCAAAAGAAATTTCAATAAAGTTTAAGATTTATGAGTAAGATGACAATTTACTTATATATAAACTAAAATAGATGTTATATATGCCTCTCCATTTACCATGTGAGTAACAGTATTCAAGATATCTATATTCTCATTAGAAAATTATCTTTTAAGTACTAATAAGATAGTACTTAAAGTTTATTCCACGTTTTTAATTTCAACTTTCAACTTTTGTACCTCTTTCTTATGTTGAATCAATTCAAAATATGAAAGACCATATTATTTAGATGAAGTAGATATTGTACCTATGCAACAAACACACATTTTTCTTTTCAATCTTTTAACTTTTGAATATACATCATCTTTCCATGAACTCCTTTCAGAATTCTGAGTACTAGTTTCGCTCAAACCTTGTTTCATGAATTCCTAAAATTGTAAACAAATATTTTAGTATAAAGAAACTAAACATAAGTAAATGCAAGTAATAACTAAATTAAATACCACAATTTCAGCTGCCTTATCAGTCACAATACTTTCATCTTTATGTGTATGAAAAAAAATATACACCTCAGCACATGATGGTGGAATTCCATTGGCTTCTTGTTTTTACAAATGTATAATATTAATTATTGTAATGACAAAATTGAACATATAAAAAGTAAACTTCATATTCATTTAACTGAATGGGACAAGAAAAATTGATATATGTACCAAGATTTGAATGATCTTCAAAAATGATTTTGTTCTTGTGCAATGAGGCTCATCAAATTTTGAACGGTTTGTTTTGTTTGTCTCATTTTGTTCCTTTAAACAAATGAATAAGAAAAGATATATTTGTAATTATTATCATAGTGTTCAAACAAAGTAAATCGTATATTTTATAAACATTTACCTTCGCTTTATTAGTCAACCAATGTGCAGTAAAAAATAA